GCCTGGCATAAGCCAGTGGTGCCCATGACCTTGCATGGTGTCCAGTTCAGGCGGCAAGTGGTGTTACCACCTACAGTAGAGCCAGCAGGCTGTTCCACAGAGGGGTGAGCGGGCTTGGAACTGCTCAGCCCCGAGGTAGAATCCTGTCACCTGTGGGACCCTGGGCACGCTGTGGCCTCCTTTGCAGAAAAGTAAATTCATATAGGCAGGGGAGCCCCTGCTATCTCCCCACCACCACCACCAACACCACCACCACCACCACCCTGCTCAGCACCTGGTCAATGTCTGTGCTCAGTGGCGCTTGAAGGTTAAAAAAACAGAAACAGGAGAAAGATCTGAAGGTGAGGACAGGCCCTCAGAGGTTGGCTGAGGCTGGAGCCCCCTGGGACCCTGCGGCCACCACCTTCCTAGGAGGCCTCCCAGAGAACCCTTGGAGCCACTTTTCTTTGCTGTGCAGGTCTCACTGCGTCCGTTTTCAAGTTCTGTTACCTTCCTTTAAAAATGACTCTTTCCTGTGTATCCCAAACTGCTGCTGAAGTCTACATCAGGTGTTTCAAGGATTAAAGGTTTCTTTCCCTACCTTCTTCCTTTAGACACTTTCCCCCCCTTTAGGCAGTTTTATTTGTCACTATAAAGATGTATTCCTTTGGAGTATTTTTAATTTAATCCTTTGTTAAGAGTCACCCCGGTCCGGAGCCTCTGGCCCCCTGCCCAAGTCTGGCCAGATCTTCATAGTGTTGTCCTGAGCCATGCCCCCGCTGCCACCCACCGTGTACTCTCCCCCCCATCATCACCCTGGGCTGGAGAGCTACAGTAGCCTCCCCTCTCCTGCTGCGTCAAGGGCTCCCTCCTCTGGCCTTTCCTGCTTGGCTGCCTCAAGCTTCCCGACTCAGCTCAGGTATCTCCTTCCCCAAGAAGCTTCTCCAACTGCTCCAGTTGGCCTGTGACCCCGCTATACCCTCACGGCCTCCTATAGGCCCAGAACCACTTACTCGTCCACCAGTGTGTGAGCTGTCCTTACTGGGTTGTGCACCCTCTGAGGAACCAGGACACACATGGTGGGCGTGCAGGGGTGCCTCATAAAGTTGTGGAGTGAATGAAGAAATGAATGAATACATGCAGACCTCCTGACCTCCAAACTCCAGTAACCCAGTTCCTCTGGCTACTCCTCCTACGGCTGTGGGGTCCCTCTGCCCTCTGTGCCTGGCACACGGAAGCACCCTTCCTTTCCCTACGGCTGCCCACTCTTTGCCTGCTCGTTCTAACTCCCACTACACATTTTACGTGTTTGTTGACTCCAGGCCTTATCCATTTTTCCATTTGTAAAACTGCTTTTCCTCGGCTCTCTGGAGATGCTCAGGGAACCCACATTAAAGTTCATTGGTCCTTCAGTGACACCCTTGGGTCCTAGATTGAAGCTCAGCTCGGAGGGGGCCCATCTCTCCTGTCTGGTCACCTGTATGCCCACCCCGGGGCCACAGGGCAGTGCCATCAGGCAGCTGGAAAAAGTGAAAAACTTGAAAAACTTATAGAATGTTAAACTGGTGGAGAATGGATTAATAGCTGCCACGTAGAGGCCGTTTGGATTTGCCCTGTGTGGTACAAGTCAGAGCTGATGGCCCAGACCGTTTAAAATCATAAAAGGCCCTCCCATAGGGCTGTTGACAGGTGAGTACCTGCGGATGGGCCCAAACAGGGGGATTTACTCTAACTGGCAGGGAGGATGAGAAGAAAGGAAAAGGAAGGAGGGACAGATGCTGCGAGGCCCCCAGGAGCACCATGGCGAGAGCAGGCCCAGTCTGAGCTGTGAAGAGAGAGAGATCTGCTCCCTCTAGGAGACCAGCTCTGCCCCTGTGAACAGGGCGGACCTGGAGACGCATGGCCTCCATTAGTGTTTGTATTAGAGTTTGAGATGTGAAATTTGAAACAGCAGTGGATAAATGAATTAAGTGGGAACATGGAGAAAATAGTGATGCAGGAAGGTAAGCACAGAATTTATATTTTGACTATAATCTTACAGTTGATACTTGTCTTCTCTGTGCACCTGATTCTGCAGTAGGTCATGTGTGTGCACGCACATGTGTATGTGTGCACAGTGCATGTACATGCACGTGCTCAGCCGTGGAGGACATAGAGCCCTCGGATGAAGGAGGGACTGTTCCCTCCCCACCCCCCTCCCCGCCCCAGCTCTCCCTTGGGAAGAGTAGCAGGGGTCCACCAGCCCTGCCCTGCGTCCTGCCCACCCCTGGAGTGTCAGCGCCTTAGCCACTGCACACAGGCCCTTATCCAGAAGAGACTCCCCAGACGTGGGCACACCAGATGCTGAGTGGCTCCGGTCCAGCCAACAGGTCCACGAAAGAAAGGGTGGAACCCTACCAGAGGGAGCAGGAGGGGTGGGGGCACTGTCATTCTCCTGGAAGCACTGGGTGGCCAGGGAAGAGCCAGCAGTGTGTCCCACCCTCGTGGGCTGGGAGCATGCCATGCCCCCGTGTCACACGGCCTGTCCTTCGTGGCTGTTGCACGGGCTCCAGGCATGCACTCCGTGTCCGTACCCAAGTTTAGTGACACCCTTACAGGTCTCGCCATCTTACTTCTTTAGCAGAAGGCTGGAGACAACAGGGAGAGAGCCTGGGGAGGAGGTCGTACTGTTAGGGGAGCCAGGGCCCTCGCAAGTGTTTGTTGGGCCTCCCCCCGAAAATCCCCTGGCACATCACCAGCCCAGCACCTCAGTGTGTGTAGGACCATTGCGCCATGGGGCCCCTCAGAAAGTAGAACTCACCCCTATACCCCATTCCAGCTGACCCTCTGTCTGCCCCTGCTGCCACCCTCCCGCTGGCTGCCACTGCCTCCTGCTTGGATCTAGCCCTCCTCAGACCCCTCAGTTTCCCCAATGTGTCTGTGCAGCCCTTCCTGCGCTGCCTCTCCCCCCACCTCCACCTGGGCTCCAGCTCCTGTGCCAGCTCATCTCAGAGTCTGGGCCCCCTCCTGGATTTGTCCCACTTTGCTGAACTTCACCTCTAACAGGTAGCCAAGGTTGATGCCACGAGGCATCAACTCCTCCTGGACCACAGCCCTTCCCTTCCTCCTCACAGGCCTCTGTGACCTGCGGCCCAGAGCTCTCAGCTCTTGCCCTGGACAACACCGTTGGCCCTGAGTTGACCCCACTGTCCTCCATCTCCGGGCCACCCTGTCCCTGGTGACCAGACCAGTCTGTCCAAACATCCTGGCACCTCATCACCAGCGTGCACACTTTGGAGGGCCTTTGTTGTTGGATCTGACGTACAAGCCCAGCCCTGTGGGAAGCGGTGTTCATGGGACGAGCAGGTCATGGAATGTTCTCCCCAGACACCTCGCCAGCCTCACCAACCCGGGTCTTTCCTTCAACACTGGGCCTTCTCTTCCTGAGGGTCTTCAGCAGTGTTACTCCCCTTGCCCGAAACACTTCTAACCCTCAAATGCCCCTCTGTCCTCCGGGCCCTGCCTGTTAACTTTTAAAAGCACTCTCTTGAGGGCTTAGAATCTCCTCTGAGGACAGACAGAAGCAGGGGCCTTCAAACATTTCTTTTCTTTTTTTTTTTTTTTTTGCTTATCTCCTAAAAGAACTTTGGGAAAAAGTACAATAACCCTTTGAACATGTAAGGTTGAAAAGGAAAATATTAAGTTGAAATACAATTATTTTTATAAATAGGAGGTAAAAAAAACATAAGATGGAAGATGAGGAACCAATTACTAGAAGTAAATAAATATTTAATGACATGATTCACTAAAATAGATTTTAACCAACTCCCTGAATAAGGCACAGCAAATCTGTAGTCATCGTGCAAGACTTTTACTCATGGGCTTTAGCCAGTATATCTTGAAAATGTTTAAATTCTGGAAAAATCTCAATTATGTTTAAAAAGTCACCTGAGTCCCGATTACCCATCAGTTCTGAATTCTGAACATCTAACTGGGGCGGAGCCCCGCTCTCATGGGGCCCAGGAGGTGCGAGGGCCCCTCGCTGAGGCCAGGTGACTGCTGTGCTCTCCTTCCGTGGGGGTGGGGAGGGTGTTGTGAATTCAGTCATGTGTGCAGGCAGTTTTAGGAAATATGGGGGTTGAGGATCTGGAAATTCATTCCCTGAAAACCGCCAGCACGCCCTTGGAAAGTGGATCTGCATACCCCACACCAAAAACCACGGTGCAGAGGATGGGGTTGTTCCCCTTTAGAGTTCGGGGCAGGCGGTGTTGGTAGAGAAAGGAATATCCGGGTGTGCCAGGGAGGGTAGGGCAGCTGCCCTAGAGGCCGCCTCCCACAGACTTCCTGGCCGTCGCCAGTCGCCCCAGCTCACACACCAGCGGTGACCTGTTTCACAGCCGCGTGTCAGGCTCACACCCGCACACACCGCATGCTGTGAATTCCCAGGGCCAGGCAGGCCTCCCCCGGTTTGCTGAGCACAGAGCACTCCGGCTTAGCCAGCTCTGCCTGGCTCCTGCGCCTGGCCTCCACCCTCCACGGAGGGCGTTCCTTCCAGATTGGCCCCATCGTGTCCCCCAGGGCACAGGAAACGCCTGAGAGGGGGACTTGATCTGACCCTGGGAGATGGGCCCTGGTCCTCCCCCAGGGGGTTGACGCCCTGCTCACTTTATGTTTAAATACCGACTTTAGTGAAATCTAACCCACAGGCCGTACAACTCACCCATTTGCAGCGTACGACGCAGGGGTTTTTATGTGCAGCTGTCACCCCAGTCAAGCCCTGGTGACTCTTAACCCAACTGCCAAAGGCAGGGATTCATCAATTAATTACAAGAGCGCTCCTGTGACAAAAGGAACCCGAAATGGAGTAATCCAGAGAGGACATTTCCTAGGAGGCCGTGTTACTGCCTGTAACCCACAGACCCTCAGCCCATTTGCCTCTGTCCCAACTGAGACAGGTGCACCAGCCTCTCGTCGCAGCCCCGGGGCCGCCGGCCCAGAAGGACACCCGCCATCGCTCACGGGCCTTTGCTCTCTCTCGCCAGGTGTTCCACTGTGTCCACTTTGAGTGTCCGGAGCAGCAGAGCAGCCATAAGGAGGACAGCAGTGAGGAGTCGGGGCCAGGGGAGCCCAGCCCGGGTCCGCAGCTCGACCCCCACGCCCTGCAGGCCCCCAGCGGCAGCTCCCTGCCTTCCAGCCCCGGCTCCGCCTCTCGCTCCCCCAACCGGCAGCACCAGTAAAGGGCCCCCAGGCCCCATTGAGGGCAGAGGCAAGGACTGGTGCCCCCCCCCCCCCGCCAGGAGGGATCTCTGTTGACTGCCCCTGACCCCTCCAGGGAGGAGCAAAGCCCGCTGCAAAAAGGGACACACAACAGGCGTTCTCCCAAGGACAGAAAGGGGGCTGCTTTGTTCTCCTCAATTTGTTCAAATCAGGCTGGTCTCCAGGGGGAGAAAATGGGTCTTCAAACTTCATCAAGTCCACCATTAACACCCTACCTCTCTAATGTCACTGGGGCAAGGGGGACAGAGGGAAGCGGTAGATGGGCGGTAGATGGGTGGTGTCGGAATTCCTACAAAGCATAGCGCAGCAGGGGCGCGTGCAGGGCAGGGGGTGGCCTCTGCTCCCGGGAGGCACCCGAAGGCAGTGGGTTTCTGTAAAGTGCTGACTTTCATGGAACACATTGCCGTGGTAACTGATTTTTTAAGAATTTCTTTTAGTTATTGTCCATTTGCTGAATCATAGGTGTTCCAGATCGTTTTTTGCACTGCTCAAACAGCACATCCCTTGTTTTCATCCCTCTTGATGCTGTAATTTCCCTCCTTAGTTTTGAGCAGTTAAGCCTGGGGTGGAGCAGAGAAGCACTGCCCAGGTCTCCCGTCTCCCGAGTGAAGCACAGACGCAGCTCATCACGGCCCCTGGTCTGACAGGGAAAATCCTCCGAGGAAGTTCAGCAAAATACACAATGAGGAAATCAATCCAATGACACTGGAGTTAATGATCACTCGAATTCCTGAGTTATTAACCTGTCATTCCTGAGACGCATCCAGCCTTTGAGCTTGGGAGGCTGCCAAAGAAGGAGTTGCTAAGCCACCTGCTAATTTCATGGTCCGACGTATGTAAATGTGTATATAAGTGTGCGGCAGCTTCCGGCTGGGCCGAGGAGTCAGCACAGTGGCCGAGCGGGGGTCGGGGTTGGGGACAGGGAACTGGGCCTTTGCAGCAGGTTTAGGCGGCGCTGCTGTGCCTCCCCCCCGCAGGCCGTACTGCCGACCTGGGGTTTAGAACAAAAAGCAGTTCTCGGAAGGTTTTCTCCTCGTCCTCAACGGAGCGGGCCTCCCGACTGCGGTGGCCGAGCCAGCCCTGTCGCGCCTCCTACACAGTGGTTTCCAGTTGGGCGCCGACCACCCTGCGTAACCCGCTGGCCTCTGCCTGCTTGTCCTCTCCTCACCCTGGGGCCCACCCAGTGGCCTGGCTGGGCACCACGGACCTCGGGGCCCCCAGAGGCAGCCTCGGGGCCTCTGCACACCCTGTGATCCCCTTGGAGGAGGGTGGACTTACCCGGACTTCCGTCTTGGGGTCTTGAACACACACTGGTTGTGGGCAGACACAGAGTCACTGGGTCGACTTACTAAATGCTTTCCCCAGTGTGACCTGGTCTCGAGTGATCTATCGATATGGGAAGGGTAGGGGGCATCGGGCCACCTGACTAAACAGGAAGGTGGGCTTTCTGTTTGAACACGGCGTGGAGGGACACTGGGGGGGTTGGGGAAGAGGAGCCACAGCGCCAGCTGCCCCTTCCCCACCTTGTGGGGAGTCCCTGGAGCCCCTGAGGGGTACCAGGCATGTCACAGGAGGAGGGTGGCTCCCACAACCCCATGTGACGCTGGTGACAGCACCAGTCTCCGGTGGTAGGTCAGCGTGGAGAAGCGCTGTCCCCTCGCACGCACTTCCTTGGGCGGCATTGGCTCTACCTGGTGGGGAGCAGCAGGTGCCAGGGAGCCAGCAGGGCCTGAGCTCAGGCATTCGCTACGTATCCACTCGCTAGAAGGCTTGCTGCCTAGACCTCGAGCCCAGAGAGGAGTCCTGGGGCTCGGAGGCGGTCGCTGCTGGCTTGGGAAGAGACAGCGGGCTGGTGGGGACCCGGATGGTTCCCACGCTCCATCTCCAGACTGTGGGGCCCGTGCCCCCACAGCGCACATCGCCTTGGGCCACGGGTTTGGCAGCAGCTCCACGTCCCCCCGAAGAGGCGCACGCCCACCCTTGGGCGCTGCCCGGCCAGCAGCCTGCTGTCCCCCCCCCTCCCGCAGATCTCCTTCAGCGCCTGCACCTTCCACGCATGCCCCAGGTCTGGCTCCGCAGACAAGGGAAGGAAGGGGGAGAGGGGGCAGAGCTGCCAGCACAGGCAGCGCCTCCTTCCCCTCCCTACCCGCTCCCAGCGCGCCCATCGGCTGGCCGCCCCCAGGTCTCCTGGCCTGACCGGAGGCCCTGCCCGCGTGGAAGCCCCTCTGGGCCCCAGGCAGACGTCGACGAAGCTCAGCAGAAGCCTCTCTGGTCTACCTCCTGTTACCAGGCCGGCGGGCTCCGCCCTCTGTGTGGGCCTTCTGATGGGGGGTGAGGGGGCCAGGGCTGCTGGGTGGCCCCGCAGATACGGACACACGCAGAGTGAAGCGTGGATCTCCAGGAGTGAGGGATGAGTGGGCCGCCAAGTGGCCTGGCAGTCCCCGCAACCCTGGCTGGCCCTGTGGAGGACGGCCCCAACCTGGAAGAGGCCAATGGAGCTAAATGGGAGTGCAGTTGGGAGGCCTGGCCTGCAGCCAGAAGGAGTCCCTGATGCCCACGGAGTCCTCATCGCAGCGGAGGGTGGGGGCTGACCCCCCTGCAAAGTGTGGGGAAGGACACACGGCCAAGTCATGAGGGGGCCAGGGCAGATGAGGGACTCCGCCCTCGGAGGTGCGGCCTGGGTGCTACTGGTGTGAGGAGAGGTCAGCTGAGGTCTGGCCTCCGTGGGGACAGACAGGGGAGCTCGTGGCCTGAGGCCCTTGACTGTGACGCTCCCCAGTTACCCTGAAACGACACCTTTGTGACCACCGCCCAGGTCAAGAAATCGGATGCTGCCGGAACTGCCCCCCGCCCTTCACTGCAGATCGTGATTTGGGGCAGAGTAAAAATAAACGGCACTGGGGCTTTGTGGGGAGAGCCTCCGCCCCTGGCAGCTGCTGGGTGGGCCAGTTGGGGGGACCCCAAGCGCACCAGGTGGGCCCTGTGTCCGGTGCATGTGTGCCTGGGGCTGGCGGCCTGGTCATGGCGGTCTCAAAGACGGGGTTGCCGCCGAGCACTTTGGATCTGAAACGGGTAATAGGATGACAACGTGCACCCCCCCCCCCCCGTACACAGATGCTTGTTTGCCCGCGTTCTCAGTGCTTTTTCTGTTTTACTTCTGACTTTAGTTAGAACTACGAGCCCGTGATGAATGTGGGACTCTTCTCAATTGCTCTTTAAATTGTCACTTTTTAATCTTATTAAATGAAGTGTCGATTCCTGACAAATACATTAAAAGTGTTTTATTCCTAGAAGAGTTGGGAAAAGAAATTATTTTCAGCAAGAGTGGGATGTGTTTGTTAGACTGATTCCTTGGCCCAAAAAAAAAAAATGAGTTTTTGAATTGTGCAAAAAATTGCTCAGTAGTTATGCTGTCACCCCAATTGTCAAATCACTGTGCAGACAGCGCCAACCCAGTCAGCTTCACCTTTCTTTCCCCCAAGAAGATAACAAAATTGTAATCACTGATTTTTTCTAGAGACTCAGAAGAAAAAAAAGGAAAGTATAATCTGTAATAAAAAGCAGAGCGTCCTGTGTGCCAAGGTCACTTGGCAATAGAGGGAGCACACCCCATCGCAGGCTTCAATTAAGAGACTTCCTTTGGACGAGGAAGAAAGGTGTCAAAAGAGGAAAAAACTAACTGTGTCTCCTTCCAGGAGTTTCTCCTCGTTTGCACACTCTGTGGCATCACCACTGAATCCTGCCTTCTGTACAGGTGGCGGGTTCCCGCGGACGCTGCCGAGTCGGGGAGCCGCGGGGGGTGGCCGTGGCCGCCGTGGGCCGTGGCTGTGGCGGGCGTAGGCCGTGCTCCGTGTATTTTTGCCGCCACAGCCACCGCTTCTGTGTGTCTGGCCTGACGACAGCTCCAGCGGGAGTTCAGCGCTCATCAGTGGCCCTAGGAATTTAAGATGCAGCTCCTGGCTCTGTGCCACCGTGGTTTTTATAATATTAAATTAGAAGTCGTCCCGGTGCCTGGTGTTTGCTCAGGAGTTTCTGGAAAAGAGGAAGGGAATGGTTAGACAGCATGTGGGGCAACCAGGGCGCCTTGTTTCTCCCCCTCGAGGTTGAGGGGTCAGCCTAATTGCTGGGCAGGGTTCCGGAGCCCCGGTGGTGTGAGAGAAAGCCTGTGGGCAGGGTGGAGGGACGTGTGGTTGGAGGATAGACCCGTTCCCCTGTCCCCAGCCCTGCTACCCCTGGGCACTGTCCTGGGGAGCAGGCAGGACTGTGCCTCTGCTGGTTTCCATCCGACTGGCCGGAGGGGCCGTGCACCTCGTGCCTCTGCGGACGTGGGCAGCTGCCCAATGACCTTGGACCCCCCAGCAACCACCCCACATCCCTCCAGGCAGGGCTTCCCTTGGATGGAAGTGAGCTGGGACCTGCTCCATCGCAGGGGTGGAGCAGGTGCACGGACCAGCTCCCTCCGCCACACACTTGGGATACCACTGGTCTCTTAAATTACTTGTTAAAAAATATCAGTAATCATGCCCATGGAAGAACATGCCAATCTAGCAGAAAGGACAGAGGTGCCCTCCCTGTCATCTGGCCTGAGTCCCCCTTGACCCGGGGCCAGGTCATTTCCGCTGGGACGGGAAAGTCAGTCCCCTGCTCCCCCGCCCCTCAGCCCTCCTTCCCAACACCCTGGCCTCTCCCTGGCAGAAGCCAGACTGTGAGGGGCGCCCTCCTATCTCATCAGGTTAGTTTTTTTTTTAAGAGTTAAAATATTCCCCAAGGGGCTTCACAGCCTAAAAATTCACAATCATCCACCTATAATTTATGATAAATGTCTCGAGCATTTACCATTTGCATCCCGAGTATTTATAGCTCTGGGCCGGGAGCAGGGGGGAGGAGGCCTCCACCTGCCTCCACCATTGTCTCCTGCTCGGCTGGCACGGCTGGCACGGCAGCTGGGGCAGCTGAAGAGTGCCACCCCCGGAGCCCGGGGCAGTGGCTCCATCCCGTCCAGGTGAGAGGTGCCCGCTCTGTGCGGAAGGGTGGTGCTACCCTGAGCAGAGGGCGCAGACGGGGCCTGCGTTCCGGGGCTTGGGTCTCCACGGATGCCCGGCCCCCTGGGCTCACTGGTATGGTCCATCCCTCCATCCCCAAATATGCTCGTCCTGTCAGAGGAGCACCGGGGTGTGTGGCCCACACGGGTACAGATGGGCCCAGCCTGGCCACAGTGGCCACACATCTGCCCGGGGCCTTAGGGGCAAGCTGGTCCTCGCACAGCAGCTCCGGCCCCAGGGTCCGGGTTACCCCGCACCCACACGTCGTACCTGGGCCTCCAAGCTCTTCCCTCCAAAACCAGCCCCCAGGCCGGGGTGGGGGGGCACCTCATCTTCAGTGCTCCACCATGGCTGGGCTAGGTGCTGTCGGCCACATCTGTGCAGCCTGCGGGCCGGGTCTGCTCGGTCTCGAGGGGCCACCCAGGCCCCTGGGGCCCAGCCTCTCCTCGCCTCACTCCCCCACAGTGCAGCTCAGCTGCTAGAGCCCCCTTCTGAGAGGCAGCGGCCACTCCGCACAGCCCTCAGACATCTCCCCATAGCCAAGGTCCTGAGGCCACCCCTGCTCCAGCACCCAGGAAAG